TCTATTGCATGTGAAGGGTACACATATTTTGTTAGTTATAGAAGTAAAGCGTCAATTACACACACACACACACAAGAACACATGCACACACACTTGTAAACAAATGTGGCCAACTAGGGGAGAGAATTATTTGAGTACATAAACATATATATATATATATTTGTATGAGTTACCCTCTAAAAACATACATTCTGCTGTAAAGATGGAATGCTTCTCACTGGATTCTAGCATGTTATACCATTAAATGGTTATCTAGAGTGTCTTAATGGGTCAAAAATCCACTAAGCATTCTATTTCCTCAAAGTACTCCAGTCGAAATTCACTAATGGAATCAAAGTGAGTAGAATTCATTCATTTATATGGATATCTGAGTGTGTGTGTGTGTGAGTTAATGTCCAAGAAAGTTTATAATATTAATTCTAATTAAGAGGGAAATAACTGTCCAGGGACTAAGGATTTTAAGAACTTTACTGAGGAGTTCTCATTACAAGCCTATACCAGTCACTGGAAGTTAGATAGCAACAGAATTTGGTTTGACTTGATTTACGACTTTTCCGTAGTGATTACTTATGATTCTGTCAAAAATTGGAAGGAGAAGCTTCATGTGATTATTATTATTTCTTTGGGTTCCGAGTGGATCATATAACTTCAGCAGCACACCTCGATTTCGCTCCGTTCTCTGCATTCCCTTTTAGCTGACCCTAGGATTTCCTATAGGCTCTTATCTCCTTCCCACACGATCGACACCATGCAACCCCCATCCGACCCTAGCCCCATCAAAGTAGATTACTGACTCACCAGTTGATAATTTTGACAGTCCACATGCATTCCATCTGCTCTCGCAGATTTCCAGCACTTCTAGGCCATATCTTCGCATCTCTTTGGCTACCTGGGCAGCCTTCCCAGCAGGCTTCGTATATTGTAGGTATATTCCACGTCCCTATTCTTATTCTCGCTTTCATTGAGAGCAGCCAAATTGGCTAACTGGCTTTTCAAAGGTTTTCATCAGCCCACGTCATTTCACCTCTCTGATTAGAGCGAAGAACAAGAGTGTTATTTGATATTTTTTGTATTTTTAATACATTTTCTGTGCGTTGAAGTTTCTGTAACAGTTTGATTGGTTTTGTGGTGTAGGGTCACTAGACCCACGCCTAACCCTCCCTCTATACCCGGGCTTGGGACCGGCTAGAAAACTAACAAGCTAGTTAACTAGGCCACTGCTCAACAAATATGTAGGAGAAATTGGAGATGGATGGATTGGGCACACGTTGAGGAGACTGTCGAATGACATTGCGCGCAGTACAGACCATCTCTCCAGTGGAATCTCAATGGGAAGTGACAAGTGGGTCTTCAGTGCGAGGGTGACATGGAGGAGATCGTGTGGTGAGGCAGGAGATGAGATGTTATGGGCAGAGAATAGAACAAAGTGGAGATGTGTTGTTGAAGCCCTATATTCCACTCGGAACCCAAAGGAACAATAGTAAATAATGCTGATTGTAGCATGTTAGAAGGTAATATTATTACTATTCCTCCTCATGGTCAGTATTTCATCGTCTATGAATCCTAAACTCTTTCATAGGACAATATAACAATAATCCAGTGTCACTAATGTGTATCTGTCTTCATAGACGATTTGATCGACACAATTGGTCACAATCTCTTCGCATAACTCAATAAAGAGCAGTGTATCTACTCCCAAGTATATTAACATACTGATAAACTTTAGATTTGCTAGGATTACCGAATGTGATATCGTTTTATACTGTAAATATGGCCTTTCTTACTTTATAAAAACGTATTAAGGGGAAAAAGGGTATGATATCCCGGATTAATTATTACAAGTCTCTTGTCATAATCGATATCAGTTTGAATTCCATTCAGTCTTCATACCTCAGTTACCTTTTTAAATATATTTTATTTCAAGTTCGATCATGGATTGATATCAGTTAGAGAACCAGTGGAAATCAGTACTCGAGGGCTGTTTCGTCCCAGATGGGAACTCTTCACTGTACTCACTCATTAGGGATCGAAACCGAGAAATCTCAGCTACCAGACGAGCTTGTATATTATTCAACTCCTGGGTGAGTACTGTTGAAGTTTTCTAAAGTAGGATAGAGCAACTGTCTTGTACTGACTTCGATCCGTGATCAAACCAAATCCACAGAAAGTAACCCACAGATTTTCAGTTGTTTTAATATTAGTTTCTACTTACGACCATGACTGATAAAATGGATTTTACCCAAGTTTCGAATGTGTTTCTATTACTTTAATATTCGTCTATCATAGTGATATTGTAACAACAGAAGACAAGGGCCAGGCAACAGATCGTTTATTAAGGAAAATCAACACATATTTATAGATTTTCTTGTACATTATTATAGATTATTGTTAGCAGAAAATACAGTATTTTGATTAGTTGTTTCTCACAGAAAGTTAACCTTGCATCTCTTTGTGGTTGTGTCAGATCATCCATATGCTAACGGTATCCGCCTACGCAAAGCCTTTGTTCTCATTTTCTCACCACCAATATTGGGGACATAAACATTGACGTCAATTACTGTCTACCAACTTTGGCTAGCAGCCAGCTCTCACCACAATATTATTACAGTTAATCTCGTCACTATGATGTCCTCCAAAATTGTTGTAAACCTCATTCAACAGCCATTTGACAATATCATAAGTCGAGTGATTCACAACGAAAAACTCAATGGGACACTTGAAGTGAAGACAGGAGTAAGCCAAGGCTGACTGCCATCACCCATAATATTCCTAACTGTGATGGTCTGTGCCACGCGTCACACTTTGGACCAATAAGAAGGCTCTACAACATCTGGACTCCGTGAACGATTTATATCTAGTGTCACATACATTTGAAGATGTAAAGGCGAAAACTTACAGGTTGTCAAAAGAAGCTGCAAAGACAGGACTTACGGGTTAGAAAAGAGAAGACTAACTGGAAGAAATTCGACTGAGGTCATTTCCTTCACTTATCTAGGCCACATCATTCGAACCACAAGCGGTTTACACGGACGATTATGTCATAACTAGAATTGGAAAAAGCAAGAAGCAGATATTCACCGCCTTAAAATCAGTCCCCTGATGCAGACTTTTATCAACAGCTGCCTTCACTGGCTCCATAGTGAAGGAAGATCAAATGATCAGAAAGAATTAGCAATAAGGAAATCTGGGGACGAATCAACCAAGAACGCATTTCTCAAGATACATGTGTAGAAGTAAATGGAGGCGGATAAGACACACTCACACACACAAAATGAAGAAACTGCTGAGTGACATGGCTGGTCAACCCCTCGCTTGTGTATGAAACCCGAATGGGCGTCGACAAGTCGGGCGTTGATTCGAGGGTGAAATGTAGGAGATTGTATGAAGAGGAGATGACAGACTATGAGAAATCGTCGGTACAGCTAGAAAGAGCTTCAGAGAACAGAACAAAATGGAGATGTGTTATTGAAGCCCTATATTCCACCGAGAACCGAAGGGAATAACTAATCTCCCCCGCCCACCGAGAGTTGATCATATTTCCTCCAATCACATTTCAGCATATTAATAACTGAGTCATAGTGATATAACCAAATTATATAAACCTGTGTGTCATTCATCTAACGCCAACTGCTTTCAACAATTCAACAATAACTCATAGTGTATCACAATGTCAAGACATCTAGCTCAGTGACCTCCGTATTACAAACTTGACTGATAGGCTTTAACTAGCAGTAACCTTACAATGGATTAGACACATGCCATTGGTTATTCTTTCCAATGACTAATCAGCGAAAAATCAAAATCTGATGCGTTTGTGTATGTCTTAGTCTATTCTGTAAAGTGCCAAAGGGTAACTACTAAATTTTCCTTAAGAATTTGATAACCATTCCAGCTAGTCTAAGCAAGCTGGGTTAATTTAACTACGTATGATGCAGAACAAACAACTTAAATCTCGTACTCAAGTATCGGTTTGCAGGGATTTGATCGATTGATTGGTTACAGGATTTCATTGTGAGCTGACATCAGTTAGAGAATCAGTGAAAAGCCTGCAGGGAGTACCAGACAGCTGTTTTGTCCTAGTTTTGGGACTCTTCATCAGTAGCAAATCATTCAAATCCCTACAAACCAATACTTGAATCAATGAGATGCTCACTAGCGACCGGCCCTATTCAGGCAGTTACCTGGGGTTCTAGTGGGAAGTCGTGACCAGCAGGGTACAGTGGGTAGTAGGTGAGACAGTAACTCATCGAAGAAGACATTGCGAATTGGTCGTGCTATGTTGTGAATTTGCAGAGGTGAGAATTCATGGGCTGGCTGGCCATTGGATTGGGTCCCAGTGGCTTAATGGTCTACGAACAAGCTCACCTTGTAACCAGAAGGTCCTGGGTTGGAACGCCAGTGGATGAGCACTGATGAAGAGCCCCAACCTAGGACGAGACAGCTGACTGTCCAGTACTCCGTGTCGGGGTTTTCCAATGGTTCTCTAACCGATGCCAGCTCATGATGAAATCCTGTAACCAATTAAATCTCTTATCCTTTCTGTAATAATCACCACTTCTTTTGAGGATGCTCCTTAGCAGTTTGTTGCATATGTTGTCTTATTTGTGACTAGTCAATTAGACTAACCTGCTCTTTCGTCTATGAATGGTACTGTTTCTCCTCAGACTCGAACACTTTTAATCACCGTCATGAAAATAAGTGACTATTTATTTGATAGTCTACAGGTATACAGTAATATTTATGTATCAGTAATATTACTGTATAACACTGTGAGACTCTATCAAAATAAAATTTACCCATAATGGAATCTCAGAGTTTCATAATAATATCCTAGCCATCTTTATGCCAGAATGATGAGGTGGCTAATTCCGTCCAGATACATCATCAGGAAACAAGAAGGCACAATTAGATTATCTATATATATTTTTAGTAACAATTCATATCAGGGTTATATTTTTTTTGTTTCAAAAAGAAAAGCAATACTCATTTTCCCCTTTCAGATCGGTACATCAAAGCGGTCCAAGTATCACATTCCCAGATCGTATAAGCCCTGAACAGGATGCAGAACAATTACATAATGCTTGTAAAGGATTCGGTGAGTACTACTTTGTCATACATTTGTAATAAATTTTGTAGCGCTGCTGAATACTACTGATTAACTGATTTGAGTAGCTGGATACCGCCTACAGAAATAATTAGTACTTATTTCGAGGGAGATTGTAATAACCTATACAGATTATACCAGCTGATATGAGTTGTACAAAAACTACTACTTATACGAATCAATCAGTAGTATGCATTCCAATGCATTCATGCATATAGATGTGATAGAGAAGATTTGTAGCTCAGGTGGATGATTTTGATGTGGTTGTGTTCTCTGAGCTGGATAGTTAATTTGCGAAGCTTTCATTGCCCCACCACTAGGCGACACCTTCAGCGCATAATTCAATTTGTATTGAAGTGAGCTTTCAGATTTCTCCACGAGTTTATTAGTCGTCTCTCCTGGTGACCTTGGACGTGATTGGTTGTTTTTGTGTGTTTTCACACCTTCTAGGCGGCTACTTGTATTGAAATTGATTGTTTCTTTGACTTGAACTTTGACCCTTTGTGTGTGAGGTTTCCTTCTTATCGGTTGGTAAATTTTATCTATCTCGATGTGTCTATTGATTGATGATTCACTGGAATGCCAAGCTTCTAAAAATTCTCTAGCATTCTTGTTGTTTCCTCTGTCTAATATTTGAACGTTGTCCCAGTCGAATTGATGTTCGTGGTTGTCTGTATGTAGTGATACGAGAGAGGGAGTGGATGTCATGTCTTTTGACGGCTAGCTTATGTTCGTGTATACGAAGACGGATGGGACGTCCATTGCAATGTAGTGTTTTTCGCAGTTGTTACAATTTATTTTATAGATGATGTTGGTTTTATCTTCTTTCGTTGTTGAGTCTTTTGGTTGACATAGAACTGAGTGAAGTGATTTTGTTGGTTTGTGTTCGTCGTTGCTGAGTAGTTGCTCCATAGTCTCTTTTGCTAGTTTCTGTCCAAGTGAGGTATATAATGCTGTGACGTCGAAGGATATCAAAATTTGTCAACCGATAAGAAAGAAACTTCACACATAAAGGGTCAAAGTTCAAGTAAAGAAACAATCAGTTCCAATACAAGTAGCCGCCTAGAAGGTGTGAAAACACACAAAAACAACCAATCACGTCCAAGGTCACCGGGAGAGACGATTAATAAACTCGTGGAGAAATCTAAAAGCTCACTTCATCGAATTGAAGTATGCGCTGAAGATGTCGCCTAGTGGTGGGGCAATGAAAGCTTCGCAAATCAACTATCCAGCTCAGAGAACACAACCACATCAAAAATTCATGCCTATTTTCCTCAATGGCATTTACGGTTTCAAATATGTCACATATGATGGTGGATGGTAACTAGCAGCATGCTCATTTTGGCTTATTTCGGACCGGTTATGCACCGGATGCACCGGCATTCACAATGAGTGATGATGTTCTCACTGAAACTCGAATCTAATAGCCGTCAATTTAAAAGTCAAAGCATTTTTTCTAAATGGTTTCTTAGTTCGACTCTCAATAGGAGGAACTTGAGTTTAATAGTTTCCTTTGTCCTCTCCTATTTGTCGTCGGGTCGCAATTCACACCAACTGATTCATTCCCACGATTCTAGTATCATAGATGACACTGCAGTTGAAACTAAGTCAAACGTTAAATACCTGGAATTATGTCTTTCTTCTGATCTTTCCTCGTCATCATCCCATATCATATTAATTACAAGAAATATAGGTCGTCTAACCTTCTATGCGTAAAGAATTTTAAGACAATCTTGTATCACTCAGTCTCTACTCCGCTACTTAAGTAAAACTTCGTTAAACTGTGAAGGGCATTAAACACTGTTGGTTGTTGTAGAGAAATACTCGAACTTATTCAAGAAATGTGGCGAATATCATACTGTCGGACTCTGAGCATCCCCTCTATAACACAACTCTTTCTTTGCTGTATTTCATCAGGTAAGGGGACTAGAAGAAAAATTAAAAAACAACCTTATTCTCGGACGACTAAGTATAAAAGCTCTATGATACCTTATTCGGCACATATTTTATGTGGTGGTGAGAAAAGTGTTTGAGGTATGACACTAATAACTCACTGAAAAACCCAGTGGAACATAGGGCTTCAAGCTAGAGGCTTGAAGTTTCTGTAGCAGTGGTGATTATTTCTACAGGATGGAGTTGCTAGCCTCATGCCTAACCTTCCCTCCTTAACAGTCTTATTTCTGGCTTAGCGAGGTAAGGGAGTGCATCTGTGGCCGGGGATCGAACCCCGAACCACATGAGGCGTGGTCGGCGAGCACTCTACCGCTGTGCCACCGACGCACTAACGACCCTTTTTATTCTTTCTTTCATTCATATGTGTTTGTCGGTGTTCCCCACTTAAATTTTAACTTTATTTTCGTATTCTTATTGAGAAAGTTGGATACAATATTGTATTACATAATGGAAATTCCACACTGGATCCAAAGTACTGTTTAAAATAAAGCCATTATTAGTTACAGGATTTCATCATGAGCTGACATTAGTTAGAGAACCATGATGAAATCCTGTAACCAATCTACCGAATCCCTCCAAACCAACACTTGAAAGCCATTATTATTATGATTACTATCTTAATACTGAAGATGTCACAAAGTCTGACATTTAAATGTCCACAATCTTCATCCTGAGCTATAAATCTTCTTTATTATCTCAAAAAATGAGAATCACTGATAATTTCAATTTGAAGTTTATTGGTTATCTATCTACTTCAGAGGTTTCTGATCTACGATAAGAAACATTCAGCAGACTATCTCTTGACTTTAGGCCTACCCTCAAACACCATGTAAGCTCTCGACAATGGGAATGAAAATGTGAAGCGATGAGTTCAGCATTTAAAAGTGACATGTGGATAGTATGTAGGGAAAGGAAATCAAAGGGTTCGAACCCAGGTGGGTGTGTATTGATGAAGAGATCCAAACTAGGCTGACGGGCTGACAGCTGTCTAGTACTCCCAGGTTTTCCAAAGACTCTCCCTATGACAAACAGGAGAGGACAAAGGAAACTATTAAACTCAAGTTTCAAAGTCGTGTGATTATCATTGATGAAATGATTTTGAACAATAATAAACTGTGTTCGAAACTGTGTCATCCAGTAAATAATACTGTTTCCCTCACTGTGTGATACATCTAATAAACAAACTAATATGGAATTACGTACAACCACAGTGCTCCAGGTTTTATACATATATTAATTAATAAACAACATATTTGAAGATCTCAAATTCACAAGAGAAGAAGAATTAGATAACAAAATCCCGTTTTTAGATGTCTTAATCAGGAGAACCAACACAGGAGATTTAGAGACACAAGTATATAGAAAATCAACGCCGACACACAAATCAAATACTCAACTATACTAGCAATAATCTAGTTGCTCACAAACGAAACTGTGTGCAGACATTGTTTAAAAGAGTTCAGACACATTGTAGCACTCCAGAGTTGAAAAGAATGGAAGAAAAGTACCTACAAACGGTCTTCAAAAAGAATGGTTATCCACAAAATTTCATCAAAAAGTGTTTAAAGTCGAATCAAAACACCAACAAGAAACCATCATCAAAGACCACAAGAAAATTCATTCTACCATACATGAGAAATATCTCTGAAATAACAGCTAGAATACTGAAACCGTTTGATAGAGATATAGCACACAAACCAGTAAAATCGCTTAATTCGATATTATGCAAACCAAAAGATCCAACAGAAAAAGGAGATAAAATTAATACCATCTACAAAATAAATTGTATGAACTGTAACAAGCATTACATCGGCCAAAGTGGGTGTCCCCTTCGTAACAGAATCCAAGAACATAAATCAGCCGTGAAAAGACACGATATGTATTCTTTAGTATCAATGCATATAGACAATTATGGTTATCAATTTGATTGGGATAATGTCAAAATCTTAGACAGAGGAAACACTAAAAGTGCCAGGGAATTCCTAGAAGCCTGGTACTCAAACGGAAATGCAATTAACAAACACGTTAATATAGACGAAATATACCAACTAATAAAAAGTAAATCAGGTGACCAGAAAGTTTAAAATCCAAGTCAATAGAAAATGGTCAATACATATGTAAAGATAGTTATCAGGAGACGCAATTATATCACTCATGAAGAAATTTAAATCATTTCACTTTGTGCTAAATATAGCGCTGAAGATGTTGTCCAGAAGGACGACGAAAGCTTCACAACTAAACCAACCAGCTCAGAGAACACTATTAATTGCAAATAATAAAACATGTTGGTTTTTTGAATTTACATAACAATTCAAAAAATTATAATTCATAAGACTGTTATCAACTCAGTGGTCTGAGTCCGCTAAAACCAGGAATTATTAATCCATCAATGTATTGCGTGCATAAGTTCCACTGACCGCAGTCACTTTAGCATATCGTAGTGAATATCGTGGTGTCCTCTACATAATAATTAATATCCTGAAAGATTTTGAAACGTTGTAAAAATGCCTCGTATCCATGAGGTGTTCGATCATAATAATAATGGTGCACTTTTTAAATATCTCCTTTCCTTTTTTCGATACAAACCTCATGGATAGTGTTATTTCATCCTATGCTAGGACTTTTCAGCAGCAGCAACAATAAGCATCCATATCCTCGTTTCCAGGGATTGCTCTCTTGACCCTATAAGTTATGGGGTCAAGCTCACTGAAAATTAAACCAGTGGGACAAAACAGCTGTCTAATATTGACTCCTTAGTTTTTCAGCTGATGTGTCAGTTAGTTGGCGAGGCTTGAAATATGTATTTACCGGTTAATAAACTGTCAACATCTTATTTATAAATCCATTTTATCTTTTTTGTAACAGGTACTGATGAAGCTACTATTAATAAAATCTTGGGACATCGAAGTCAACGACAACGTCATGAAATACGTGAAGCATATCAAAGACGCTATAGAAAGGTTAGTTAGTTGTTTTTTTAATGTTTCTAGTTTGATCTCTAGCTGACATCAATTAGAAAATCGATCATTGGAAAATCAGGAAGTACTGACTGCACAGTTGTTTCGTCAGCTTAGTTGGTGGCTCTTCACCAGAATGCATCCACAGGGGTTGTAGTGCTAGACCTATTGGTTACAAGGTAGGACCTGATTTGATGGCCAACCCATGAATTTCAGCTGCTGCCAACTCGCCACATGTATAAAGATAGAGAGAGACAGCAACTGCCATCCAGTGTCACAAACGAGTGACTGATCTCTTACCTGACTTGGTAGATTCCGCTGGTTACTACTTCTGACTGGAATTCTCCAGGTACCTTCTTGTGTAGAAACAGTCTCTAGTGAACATTGGATTAGTTATCAAGCATTGGTCAGCAGTGATTTGATTGGTTAAAGGTCTGGTCATTAGTTGGCATGAGTTAGAGAGCCACTGGAGAACCTGGGAGTACTTGACAGCTGTTCCGTCCTAGTTTGAAACTCTTTGTGAGTAGGCGCCTAGCGGGGTTCGAACCAATGAAGTTCCGGCTTAGTGGAAAATGGCTTGATTATATAAACAAATGTCCTGAAAGAGGTATTATATAAAGGCTAAGAAAAGCTAATAATCAGAATAAGTAATGCTAGACCGTACGGGAAGTGAATAAATTGTATTTTAATGAAAGAGTAATAACATTAAGGGTTGATTAGAAAGGGAGTAGATATTATAACTGTCCAGTGCTCTGAATGTCAAAGTGAAGAAATTCAACTAAGCACGGATGGACGGTGGGAGTAATTATGACTAACCGCTACAGCATGGTTTAATCCCTATCATGAACCATTCTCGCGATCGAGTATTATCGTAGCAAATACCAATTGCGGTGGCGGGTTCCGGTTCTGCTAGGATTGTGACACTGACATGTAGCTATGACTTGTGTCATGAATACTGGTTGAATTAGGGCCTGTCGTTAGCCGAAACGATCCGCAGCCTTTGAAACATAAATAAAAGTCGTGGAGTAGGGTCCTATGAACGGCCCACGACACTGTCAGTCACTGGCAGGCCCTAGTTGCTCGAGAAGGTGAAATATACGTCTATCCGGTTTTGGAGAGTCATGTTAGAGTTGAGGGATGTTGAGTAGACCTGGCCTCTGTTGAGGTAATAGTACGCTTCTTAGAAATTATAGGTTGTCGGATCAAAACACCTTTCCCGAAAGATGGTTATGAGATTTACACTCTATTAAAGCCCAAAAGATGGTTCTGAACTTTACGCTCAAAATATATGTTAAGGTGTGTCGTTAATATCTCAGCTGGCTAGATCTTAATCGGTAGACAGATGGAGAGAGATAATGACTGTTTGACCTTCTTCTGAATGTTTATTATAGACTTAATAGTTTGAATGCCAATCCCTCCGGTTATATGCAGTAGACGAATACTGAGTCCATTTGGGAAGATTCCACAGAGTGTAATGAATCACCTTGAATATTTTCGTTGTCCCCACTATCAGTTAAAACCTCACGAATATATATAAACCCTTCAAATGACCTGACTTTATCTTATACATCACTTTGAAAGATCTTCCTATCGATGCGGAATAATCTGTAAGAATAAGCCATCGAAGAATTGAACTACTGATTTGGCTTATTTCGACAGTATCTTACAAGTGCAGTCTATGTATATTTAGCTCCACAAGAACAATGGAAGTGATATATGCGCAGACATACATCACCCCGCCAACACTGGAACATTCTCTTTGACATTCCAATGCATATGATGTTACGTGTAGAAGACCTTTGATTACCTGCTAAAACAGTTTTTTAAAATGACACAAGTTATTATGGCGGCAAAAATCAATACAGCACACTTCAAAAATTACTGTTACAACGCAAATAGGGCCAAGTTGTGACATAAGAGATATGAATACATGTCAGTTAGTAATCTAACGATGGAAAATTCAAAATATAGGGAGGACAGAATTGAGAAGAAATGGTTAGTAAAGGTTAAATTATCACGTACACAAATAATTAAGTAAATTGAAAGATTAACCATGAGTTCATCTCAGTGAACTGTAATCATAAAATGACGAAAACTGTAACCTAAGAGAAATACAGAAACACAATAAAGACGTCTACTCAACAGGGTAGTGTGAAATTCCGCACATTTTATATTAATGTAGACAGAGATTAGGTAGGCTTTTATTGAAATCTTTTGATAGCAATATCTTTTGTGAAGGGAAGTAGCCAGTCTTTGATTCTTTTTGAAGAATTGACGATTCCGGCTGGAAGCCTTGTGTCAATCAGATGCTTGGCGACTGCATTTGTGAAAACACTTTCTTACTTTTCATATGAAGATTGTTGGAGATGTGTTCAGCAAAATCTAGCAGATGTTCTCCTCTTATTAATATTATTATTATTATTCCCTTGGGTTCCTAATGTAACACAGGGCTTCAACTACACGTCTCCACTTGCTTCTGTCTTCTGCTGTACTTTTCACCTGCATCCATGTTAAGCCATACTGTATCAACTCTTCTTCACACGATCTCCTCCATGTCACCCTTGGACGTCCCACTCGCCGCTTCCCTTTCGGGTTCCACTCGAGCACTGGCCTGACGCGCGATGTCACCCAGCGGCCTCCTCAGCGAGTGTCTAATCCATCTCCACTTTCTCCTGCATATTTGTTGGGCGATTGGTTCTTGTTTTGTTTGTTCCCATAGTTTCTTACTGGTGATTCTTTCCGGCCATCTGATCTTCAGTATATAGAGCGAAGAGAGCTGTTGATAAAGGTTTGCAACCTGTTGGAAATATTCTTGGTGAACCGCCAAGTTTCTGATCCATCCGTATAGAAGAAGTGACTTGACGTTTGTATTGAAAATCCGAATTTTGTTGTTGATGCAGGCTGAGTGACGAAGATTTCCAAATTGATTTCAGCTTAATGAATCTGTTTCTTGCCTTCTCGATTCTCGATTTGAAATCCTCGTCCGTCCGTTTCTCCTGTAGTTAAGACAATGCTCTTTTGATAAGTGAATGAAGTAACCTCTTTCAAATCCCTCCTGTTGATGGTGATTGGTGCTGGATGTTGCTGATGCTGTTGTTGTTGTTGGTTGGTTATTTTCATAACCTCCGTCTTGTCTATGTTCACCTGGAGTCAGTCCTGTCTTTGCTGCTCATTCGACCAGTTTGTCGGTTTTCGCTTGTAAGTCTTCCATCTTGTGTGACATCAAACATAAATCATCCGCGAAATCCAGGTCTTCTAGGTTCTTCACTTCGGTCCAGGATATCCCTGTCTTCTCGTTTCCCACTGTCTGAGGCATAATCCAGTCCACCACAATTAAGAATATCATTGGTGATAATAAGCACCCTTGTCTGACTCCTGTGTTTACTTTAAACGCCTCGCTGAATTTTCCGTTGTGGATGACTTGACATGTGCCGTTGTCGTACAGCTGTTGAATAAGGTTGATGAGTATTTGGGGTACGCCATAGCACTCGAGTAGTTTCCAAATTACTTGCCATTCCATGCTTTGTTCGATGATGATGCGTAGAATTGCAATTTGGTCAGAACATGATTTGCCTTTCCTGAATCCAGCTTGTTCTGGTCGGAATTCTGCATCCAGTGCGTCCTTTATTCTCTCCAGAATGATGCGACTCAGAATTTTACTTGGTGTCGACAGGAGCATGATTCCTCGTCAGTTCTTGCAGAGTCCTTAGTCACCCTTCTTTGGTAGTTTCACAAGGTAACCTTTCCTCCAGTCAGTAGGCACCTTTCCCTCCTTCCAGACCTTTTGCAATAATGGAGTCAGCATATCTGCTGTCGTCTCTGGATCCGCTTTCAGGGCTCCACGGGGTATTCCATCTGGTCCAGCTGCTTTTCTAGCTTTCAGAAGCTTGATTGCATTGATTCCCAAACTAGATGCTCTCCTCTTAGTTCATCTTATGTATCCACCATCGAAATTTTATGTGAATTTATTTATTCTCTCTGTGTCTTCTGAAGATCAGTTTTATGAAGAAAAGCAGATGAAGTATAAGACGCAAAATAGGATGAAAATATTTCTTACGTTTTTCAAATTCCTGACAAAAACGTTGATTGTAGATAGGGTTTGAGATTTATAGTTCAGAGATGGTGTCGTGATGTGATACAGACAGTGTGTTCCAAAGGAATAATATTCTCACATATTCCCACAGTTCAATACTGAGTTAGCAACAGAATATCGTTTAATGTAAACCAAAATCACAGGCTCAGTGATTGGTTAACGAATTCAAACTGCATAGTTATAAATAGCTGTTTAATCGCTTGAAAATATACCTTGACTTCCGTGTCTTGCCTTCTGCTGTTACATTTGGTGTCGCTGCCTACTGACAAATGGAAACTCTAAGCCCTGCAGTTTTTGAAGAAGGAGACATATGGGTCTTCTTGCAGGAAATCGAGTCTGTTGCAGAGTTGAATGGCGTTCAAGACTCGTCAGCGAAGAAGCTTTTACTTGGGACGCAGAATAAATCTCAATTTTCCTCAATTTCTTCTTTTCGATGATTCATTTTTATAAGCTTCTGTACATAATCGCAATTATGTTTAATAAAGAACTCATAAGACCAATCAGACACTGGTAAAATTTCTTCTCGAAAAATGTATTACGTAATGTAAGGCGTAACCTAGATGGAGTGACTAAGCGGAAGTGAGAAAAGGGGGCAGAAGTCGGTATGACGTAATAAGTGTGAAAAAATGACTGACCAATATAGTTGTGTAGAGCGGACAAGAACTAGTGGAAAGACGATAACGTGTTTTCAAATAAAATCTGTATGAAAACGCAAATGTTATGAATAAACAGTAATAGAGTGGTAATAAAATATGGATTGTGAGAATAATAATAGTAAACTTGCATAATAAAATGAAAGAAAATTATGTTAGGAATGTTACTCTGGCCCAGGGTTTGGGCGAGTGAATGCATGTAGTGCTTTCGGATACAGAGGTCCGTTGTCAGATGCTGAATATCCGACGATTCAGCTATGTAGAGATGGTGTATTTAATGTCCTTTTGTACCGTATTCAGTGACTCTGTGTATCACTGTGAAGTACTAAAACATGAAAGAAAAGCCTTCATGGCCAAAAATCACAACAGTCCCTAAAAAACTCTCTTCATGAACCTGGAATTCAAAGTTGACATCTTAGCAGAAATTCTTAGAAACAGTCTTTCTAAATATCTGAAAAAGACATTTCAAGCAGCAACCTTAGACATCACGTTCTCAAGCAGACAACTTATTCAGTTTAATGTTGAGGACAAGATACCGCTTTTGTCCACCTCAGAATGTACATTTATCAGTTTAACCATTTGTTCGTGTGGAGCAAAGCGCATTAGCCGTACGCAACGTCAAGTCCGTAAACGTATTCTGAAAAACTGTCCAGCTTGGATGGCTAGCCAGAGGAGAAAAGAAGAATACTAGCAGCTCCATCCTCTAAAATCTTGTCAACTCTGGATATGGAGCACCCTCGCTTGCATGAATGCTACACAGTGCTACACAGAGTTACTCAATATCATACGAAAGGACTTCGAATACGCCATCGGTAAATCAATGAACTCTAGCCTTATTTACACTTATATTGCGATCATTAATTCGTTTCTTGAGTTCCAGGTAGAAACTGGACCTTCAACAGTATACCTTCATTCTGTTTGGTTTCATTTGACCACTTTCAGTGGTTCACATGACAACCACCACTCTTTAACCTCAGGAAAAAATTCAGGTTCCGTTCAAGGGCCTGCCTTGACTGACTCACTTATTCGATTGCATAGAGAATTTCATCATGATGGGCTGAAATCAGTCAGATAACCACTGGAAAGCCTGGGAGTACTGGACAGCCAGATGTTTCCTCCGTCCTATTTTGGGACTCTTCATCAGTACGCACCCACCACCACGGTTCGAACCCACGACCTCCTGGTTACAAGGAAAGCGAGCTCGTAGACCACTGAGTCACTGGGACTCGATCCAATGGTCTTTGAATTCTAACTTCTGTCAATTCACGACATAGCGCGACCATTTCGCAATGCGTACTGCTGAAGAGTCCGAAACTGGGACGAAATGGCTGTTCAGTACTCTCACGTTTTCCAGTGGTTTTCTAGCTGATGTCAACAGCTCATGATGAAATCCTCCATGCAATCAAACAAAATCCCTACAAAACCAATACTTGATCCACTTACTGCCAAAGATCCTAGTTACGTATATTTTTTCTGGCAGGCTGCTGTAGTGTATCGCAGATGGTTTCGATGATGACGTAATATTTATATATGTACATATTCAACTCATTCATTTATGTCATAACTACTTATTGATTTATTGATTTATTTTTCTTGTAAAGGATTTAGTCAGTGTGTTGGCTTCTTCAACTAAAGGAGATTATGAAAGTCTTATCAAAACATTGTTTCGTGGAAATTTACAAATATTGGCTTATGATTTATATAAAGGCATGAAAGGACATGGTACTAATACAGATGTTCTGAATGAAATTATCTGCTGTTGTAATAATGATGAAATACATATGCTGAAAAGGGCTTATCATGATAGTAAGTACCTTTTTATCTATGTAAATCAAATATACTTTATTACTGATAAATAAAACTCACTATAATAAAGGTTTTTGTATTTCAGAATGAATGAAAAACAAAACGATATTGTTTTTACTGACGTTTCGCTATGTAATGCTAATAGCTTTATCAAAGTATTATTAAACCGGAATTTACAAAATCTCAGCATATATATAAAAAAGAGTTAAGAGGTGAGAAAATAGACTACTTAGGTCAAGTTAGAGGGACATATTGAAAGTCAAAATAACAATGAAGATCACTAAACCAAATAACAAAGGTAATAGTACATCTGTTATGGTATCAAAATAAAGTTTACTAAATTGATCATCGTTCCTCAGCATGGGGTAATTTTTACGTTGTTGTTAAACTGGCCAATTGGTAAAGATAACAAAACCAAGTGTAGATTGTTGGATTTGATCAGTGTGTAGAATTATAAAAGCAGTGTGTTTTTACATAGTGAACTTGCATATCACATTTGTGTTGATTTTGTCATTTCATGAGGGAGGGAGTTGTTGTGACCAGGTCACATTCTGTTTTATTCCATCATTCCTATTCAGGCAATTTCGATTCCACTTGATATGAAGTGCTTCTGATATTAGACGTTCTTTGTGATTTCTGAAGTTTTTCTGGATTATTTCAACATTGTCAAAATCAATTTTGTGGCCTGATTCTATAGTGTGTAGAGGACCTATGGCTGATGATTTTTCAAGTCTTTGTAGTTCAACAGGATTTCTCGGTGGTCGAAGAGATGCTCTACGGTGTTCATTTCTTCTGATTTTGATTTCTCGAGATGCTTGTCCGATGTATATCGCATCACATTCAAAGCAAGCATTTTATTTTATAGACACAATTAGATAGAGAATCTTTGGGAATTTGGTCTTTTTATGTGGACAAGGTTGCTTTGAAGTGTGTCTGATGTTTTGAAGAAAACTCTAATGCCGAGCTGATTGAGTACTCTTCTGATATCGTCTGACGTCTCTGCTCTATATCGAATGACGAATGTTGATGTCCATGTTTTCGGAATGCGTTTTCGGCCATACTTAATGTCTGTTGATATAAGATAAGCTACAAACTTAATGTCTGTGTTGATTTTGTTGATGAAGTTCCATGGGTAGTTGTTTTGCTTGAGAGTTTCAGTAATGTTTGATAAATGAAACTATCTAGAAGAGTCTTGAATTGACGCAGTATTACTGATGTAATGGGTGCTGGTTGGCAGTCATTATTGTTATTATTATTATTATCAGTGTTCCCTGAGGTTCTGACTGAAACAACAGGGCTTCAACAGCAAATCTCTACTTTCTTCGTGTTCACTGCAGTCCTCTTCAGCCCCTTTCCCACCGTGTCACGTGTGGCTCATACCAAACTCATCGTCTCTGATTCGGGATCCACTCTGTCACCTAGCGCACAATATGACTGTCTCCTTTAGCGTCTTAGATCCATCTCCTCTTCTTTTGACATATTCCTTGACTGGAAGGTTCATGGTTGGTTCGTCCCCACTGTCTCTTGTTGCTAGTTCTTTTACTGGCCAGTCATCTGACCTTCAGGATGGAGCGAGAGAAGCGAGCTCTTGATAGAAGTCTGCATCACGCTGTTAGAAATATTTTTCATGACTCATAACACTAAATCTGCAAACCATACAGAAGCCTTTAAGGTTCTGCTTTCGCCACACTCATGTGTTCCCGCTTCCCTTATTTGAAACGCTATTGTGTAGATGAATGTAGGAAGTGACCACATTTAGATTCGTTATGCTGACAGGGATTAGTGCCTGACGATGTTATTGTTGTTGTCGGTTGTTTATCTTCACGACCTCCGACTTCTCTATGTTTGCTTGAATCCCTCCCTCTATTCACTGTCTGCTTCTTTAGTTAGTTTATTTTAGAATTCGCCTGTAAGTCCTCGAGTGTTTAAGACATTAGACATAAATCACCGACGAAGCTCAGATCTTCCAGAGTCTTGTTATCAGTCCAGTGTATTCCTATCGTTTTGCTCCCCACAGTATCCGGTATGACGTAGTACGGTGAGGAATATGACTGGCGATAACAAGAAGCCTTGTCTTACTCATGTCTTCACTGTAAACGCGACCTTCGAATTACTGGTTCAGCCATAAAATCCAAATGCTCACAGTGAGTGGCTCCGTATAGGTCATGTGAACCAACTTTTTTTATCACACTAGCCACATAACAACGTCTCCATCTCTTGTTAGTTATAATCATTCTGAATTAGAAGAAGAAAGGCAGATTTTGAATTGGCGGTAAGACTCTTCTCTGAGGTAATCACTGATTTCGTAGTCTATTAATAATGTAACCAGTGTAACAGAAGAAAACTATATTACTGTTACTGTTATTATTCCTCTGGAGACCGAATTTAGTTTAGGGTTTCAGAGACTGATCTCCTCTTCACTTTCTTCTCTGTAGCCTCTTATAGTTGGCTCCACGAATGCCTATAATCTCTGATTTTTTTTAACTCCACGATCTCCTCGATATCTTCCTTTGACCCATGCTTATCTTGTTGTTTTTTATTCGGCTTCCAATAGAGAGCCAGAAGTGTGGTGCTACTCAACTGTCCCCTCAGTGTATATTTAATCCATTCCCTCCTGCATACTTGTTGAACAACAGGTTTTCGTTGGTTCCTTGTCAGTGTTCTTTGTTACATGTTCTTTCTGGCCAGCTGTCGATCTGGTCTTCAATAAGGAGAGAAAAGGGCTGCTGTTGATGACGAAACTCTCAAGCACGCTGTTTGGAATACTTTTGATGACATGCTCATGAAGACCGTGAACTTTATATAGAAGTATTGACTGACTTGACATTATTAATGAGAAAAACGGGATCTTCTACCGTCACTTAATGGCATATGTCATAAATGTTAGTAATTCCCTGTTCGCAATGAAATTGAACACCTTTATGCCTTTAATGCATACTTTATTTCATTTGGCGGAGTACTAGCCGAATTCCATCGGTTATTTTAGGCAGTGTGGCGTTTCTGCCGCGCAAACACATGTCAACTAGCTCGGACAATGAAATAGAATCACAAAATTCATTTAAGAATTAGACGATATTTTTTGCGTTGAACAATCATTGACCTTTAGAAGTAATTTAAAACCTTAAAGTATTTACAATAACAACAACAGCCTTGGTAAAATAAAAGCAATGTTATGTTGAAATTAGAAAAAGGAAGAGTGATTCAGTCACTGAGATTGTCAAGTAACATCGATTGAAAAGAGTGAGGCATGTATTGTGCATGTTGCATCACCGCCTTCGTCGTCGAGTAGTAAAAGCTGATGATTGTAGAAGAGTTACAGAGGTGATCAAATCAGAATTTGGTGCCAATCCATGCAGTGTTTGACTTCTGGTTTTAGTCAGTCATCTGGGTGTTAAGAACCAGGAGATTGAAATTTCAGCTCTTAGTACGGATGCTTTAACAATGACTCTAGGTTAACAGGATGTACAATTTTATTGGTGATGATGGCTAATACAGTGACGTTAATTCGTGCGTTTCGTCCTAATTGGGATTCTTCATCTAGGTGTATCTGAATCCATGTTAACTAAAACTGAAATGTTTTTTGAAACGGAAATCAGTTATCATTTTTAGCTGAATGCCAATCATTCGACTGCTTGATTAATCAACTAATTTGTTCTCTATAGGACGTGAAAATATTAGACTTGAATCTATATGAGTTCTCTATTGCTCACTGATGGTGAGAATGCTAGAGGGACTTTGTTTGATTGACTGGAGGATTTCATCAGGAGATGACATCAGTTAGAGAACTACTGGAAAACGTCGTCAGAGTGTACTGGACAGCTGAATCCTCCGTCCTAATTTGGGACTCTTCATCAGTACGCACCCACAGCTAGGGTTCGAAACCAGAACCCTGTGGTTACAAGGCAAGCTACCTCGTAGACCATTAAGCCACTGGGACTCAATCCAATGGCAAACCATTGAAAAACCTAACTAACTGATCTCTAACTGATGTCAGCTCATGATGAAATCCTCAGACCAATCTGTGAGATACATTATTTTATGCTTAAGATAAAATTTCTTCATTTATTCTCATTTTAGAGCCTTCAATTTATGCAGAATCTACTCATACTTTTATTATTTTAATCTATTTACAGTCCTCTTGGAAGAAGAACCTAAAAGTAAGTCATTATATAATGAATCATGTGATAAAGTAAGTCAGATTTTACGATTAAAAACTATATTACTCACAAGTAGTTAATGTATTTATCACTTCATTATTTCGCATTTCAGATCGCGCGTGATCCAAACAATGAGATTTGACACACTAAATAGTCAATTTCATGATTTTAGACACTTATTCTCTTTCACAAATTTGAGTAAAAAAATCAAAAGAATGGTTTGTGCGGAATAAGATGGTGTTATCATCACTTATTTCGCCAGCTTCACATCTACTGACTACAATCTAAAAAAACAAAACCAAAAATTCTAATATAAGTATGGGTACAGTTGAAAAGTAGTCGTCTAATTGAATATAAGAGGTGGATAACTAGGTGGTGACTAACTAGTAAGCTGTGTAATGAATTGTTGAGTACAACTCAGATGGTAAAGATAAAACACGAGCTAAATAACGGCATAGCACGAGTATAAGATGGTGTAACGATAGATTACGTTATCAAATTTTAATAATGAAACAGTAAAGACATTAAGGTTCCAGGGCAAGGAAAGACTGATATCTTCTTCCTTCTGAACATGTGAATCGAAGCTCGGACGTTTGACTGTAGTCTCTTCAGCAAACTTGATAAGAACTGCATTTTTTTCTTTCTGTTGCTAATTCTAAAGCATCTCAGGATGTCTATCTCATAATCTGTATGAACTAGATGCATAGCAATAACACTGCTCCCCTGATACATAGACTTTTGGTAGATGTTAAGGGAAGGATATCTGTCAATCCTCAAATGCATCAAAGAACATATTGTTCGATGAAACGGATCCAACTGGGTTTCAAGAAAGGTTCTGACTAGTTAAATACTTAGTCAAGTTGATCCTTATTTGGCGAGCACAACGATGAATTGATTTTTTAGGCTGTACACAGCTGAAGAGAAACCAGAGAAAAAAAGTCGATTCCATGTTCACAAACTGCCGTTTTTAATATTTTTCGAGTTTAATAACAGTCTGTTGAATCTTTCTTCACAAGTTTTGTTAACGAAATTGTCCTCTTTACGAATAGGTCACCGAGGTGTAACAAGTGCCATATGGTGGCTCTGAGTGAGCTCCATCAGCCAATCTGAAGGGCATTCATCAAACCTGGTGACTTGAAATCACCATACACTCCATGAATAATGTTGCACTGTTGGATGTAGCCAGCAGGAATCTCTATATCAGCATTCTTCAGCAAGACGTGTCTGTAACTTTTGAAATCCGAATTCATGTCAAATAAGACCACAGTCATAAATATTTCCAATGTGCTGTTCTTGATCCCTGCCAATTACTTTCAACCATCAAAATATCTTCTTCGAATTCAACATTCTTCTATTGTCGAATTAAAAATATTTTTTAGCCAGCGTTTAATCGGTGAACTGATCATTTTGAGATAAAGCTGACGTTGAGATATTTTTTCCGATCCATACATGAATGAATAAGTCAGCTTAAAACGACAGACACCAGGCTTGTATTTTTTGATTACTGAAACCCCCAACCACTAATAACTAGGGAGTACTGAAAAGATGTTTCATACTAGATTACGACTGTTTATCAGTACGTATCCATGACACCCACGACGATCCATCCCACAACCTAAATCTCACCCAACTTGATAGACTCCACTGGTCATGGATTCTCATAAGAACTTCAAGCTACTTCATCCTGTAGCCAATCACTAGTGATAGTTAGCAGCAATTCGAAGTCAGTTTCAGACCTGCCGAAGACCAGGGAGTACTGGATAACCATTTTGTCCTTTTTTGAGACTGTTCGACATTACATACCTATAATTCCCACCGTCAAGGGTGGGAAACACGAACCTTCAGGTTGTGAGGTGAGATTGTAGACCATTCAGCCCTTTTTTACCGGAATTCAATGGCTCATAAACTCCAAATTCTACTAATTTACCATAATTTGAATAACAAACTTTACCTTTCTTTCTAATCAATAAATATAAATACATATATCTTCTATCAAAATATAGAGGCTGATACACGTTCCCTTGAAAATGATGTCATCAAAGAGACGAAACCACCATATGAAACTTTATTAACAACTTTGCTACAAGGTAGACGTGATGAAGATCCACCGGAATTAGTTGAAGAAGCCCTAAGAACTAGAAGTACTTCAAGATTGGTTAGTCGAAGTCAAGTTGAAAGAGATGTTGAAGATTTATATTTTGCTGGAGAGAAGTAAGTTCAGTGCATAAAAGTTGTGTAAAAATAAGAGTTTTGATGAAATATACTTTGAAGGTGTATGTATATAGTAATCCACACCTAAGGAGGAGAAGGAAGTAACTTCAAGTTTTATGTAGATAATGTGCCGTCTTCAACTGATTACGATGCACTGTGGGGAGTTCTTCCAGACGCTCTAGGTATTGTTTTTTTTTATTACAGCTTTATTCCACACCGTATTTTTCGGTACAGGTATGGAATTTTCAGCATGTGATATTGGTAGCCCGAATTTCGCAGGCCGACCATAGATATCAGGTGTGCGTCGGCAGGGGATCGAACTCCGGACCATGTGCATGGTCGGCGAGAATCCTAACCACTGTGCTACCGACGCACACGTGAAAATAGGAAAGTTTTTAGATGTCGTAAATTTTTATGATGTTCTTCCTGTAAATATCCAAATATAACTATTTCATTATGAGAAGTTAGGAATTATCTGGAGCTAGACTTGAAGGAATTTTTCAAACTAACCGGTAAAACATGGCAGAGATATTCTTACAGCCGAAATGCATGGTGGACACAATGAAGACAGTTTTCAGGTCTGTCTTCAGGCTATATGTCTCTGCCTATAGCCTCAAGCTAAATCCAGTAAAGAGAACCACTGAAATCCAACGATTACATCCAACCTAGAGTTTATGATAGGTAATGAAAAAAGTGTTTCACTGGGAATGAAGATTATCCACACACAGACAAAGTGAGCAGTCTTTCTTCTTATCAAGAAAAATCTAGAATGCTTTTGAAGATGCTTACGGCTTCATAACTCCTTTTTGTAGTTCTTACATCAAGCCTGGCATCTAACTGGGGTGGTTGGTAATTGACTGTTACTCGCCAAGGAGAAATCTTCAGGGCAGTTTTACTCTCAATCTCGACTTCATGTTACAGAGAACTAGTGGTGCCCAAGGCGCAGCCGTCATCGAACATACTTCTAGATTTCTGGAGCACATAAAGTCAGCTGATTCTACCTAGACTATTGACTATTGTAGGTGGAATTGAACAGCCGGTAGGGTGCTTTCTCCGTCTACCACACAACCTAAACGGAAGGTGATGCTCAAATAATTTACCGCAAAAACACTCTAAGTGAACAATTAATGTTATGTTCCATGCTGTTAAATCACAAACAACATAACAGTCAATACAGGCAAAATGTTACATCACAACTGGTAAACTAACTTCATCAGTTACCTTACGGATAGTTCTGTTCTCTGTAACTAATGCATAATTTCTGGTAAGCCACTCAGGTTTGCGCAAAGTTGCCGTAAGTACCTTGTGCAGGCAACAAAGGATGACACCCAAGTGTCAATCAAAAACAACATATGGGCAAAGATAAACTACCGCGACCAAAACCTCAGAGACCTTGAACAACCAATCAGAATCCAGATACAAAAAAGTCGCATAATCACTGAAAAATACACTAAAAATTATTGCAGCCACGAAATTACACTGTATAGTTGCATATTATGTGTTGTAAGAATGTCTCTCATCCACTACATTGACGATCTATAGAGAAATCGTACCTTGCGCGACAGATCTGTTCATCCAGGTGATTGCAGGTCATGGTACTTTGAGATCCATTGATATTTCTGACACTATTTTTCAACCCACTCCTTACTCTAACCATTTTCCTGAATCCTAATCCTAACCTTGACCCTAGACCCTAAACGTCAATCTCAAAAGTCATAAACCTACCTAACAGTATAGATTTTCACAAATAGTACCAAGGGAATAAGTAGAATACTTTATTTACCCTCTCCAAGGCTTCGGAATGACATTTCATACCATTCCCTGTATCTGATCGGTTCTTGAAGGTCAACTTTTGAAAGACCTTAACTTTGACTGTGATACTTTAACTTCGCCAGCATATCTTCTCCATATGCCAACCCTTCAATTATAAGTAGGGACTGCTAACATTGGGTAACAGATAAAAGATTAAAAAACGAACTCGCCTGCGATTTTTCTCCTGTTTTAACCGCCACCGCAATCGAGCTTCCTACAGCAAGAATATTTTTTCTTTACGTAGGCTTAAACGGGAAGACGTTAAAAGCGTTGTGTAGGCTTCCTCAGTACCTGTACTTCGACATGGTCTTTTCAAAAAGAGGTAGCAGAAAGTGATCTTCGACTTGGTGACTTTAATGAGAACAATGATCAGCAAGTAAGCCGGTTAGCACCAGTCCTTTAGATATAGACTGCACTTTTGTAGGCAAGAGACGAGTTTTAAGATCCCACTATTGAAGGCACTGTGTGAACGGGAGCAAAGAAGTTTTTTCCTTGTTGTATTAGACAACAAGAAGAAGCCTCGGGATACAAGTCGTCGTAGTTGGTGGGAATAATGCATGGCTTTCTCACATCAGTGTTGCTGACGAATTCATTCATGTTAATAGAATGAGCATCTATCTAGTCCCAAATATTTATTCGAAATATCTCAATAAGTAACAAGTAGGTTCGCTTGCATAAAACCCTCAGCGATAATTTTAATTATAATGTGATCACTCAACGCCGAAAGTAGGTAGTGGTTCTGTGGTGAACAATGCCAAAAATCGGTCTTTATTCAAAGCCTCCCTACTTTATAATCAGCCTGGCTTTCGGATTTGTATAGGTATGTTTACAAATTTCACAAAGCAGGTGAATGACTTTTAACGATTTTTTCACAAAGTGATAACCCTGAGTTGTAGCTTTCGGATGGCTAGTGCCTCGGCTATGCCCAGATGTCTTAATTTCACTCCCTTTGATAGGTTCGGTCGAATCTTGCATATTATTTTGAAGGATTTTTCGAATGGTACTGAACGTCCTGAATTGATCAGATGTTCTATCACTGAACTATATACACATTTTCATTCTCCCTTTACTAGCCAGGTTGGATAGTGTTTGCGAGCTCATTTTTCAAGTTGGCACATGGTATGGCCGATGTACTCAGCTCCGCACGAGCAAGTTAACTGGTACATGCACGTTGAAGTGTTTTAATACGACAGCCTGTCTTTCGCGTTCTTGGTGGACAGTTTCTTGCAACTCTCTGAAAAGGTCCATATACAAAAGCCTACATGGACTGGACAATTCATCAACTTTCAAAGCATCGTGCCCCTAAGCAGAAAGAGGAACCTGATATACACTCTTTCCTCAAGGGTTCGGAAGATTTGCAATGAGGAAGTGATCGCCGAGGAACTGCGTAATCTTCGAGGAACTTTGATGGAAAACTGTTTTCCTCCTAGGTTCATAGACAAGAATCTCAAATCAAAGAAGACTCCCTAACAAGTTCAGTCAGTTCCGAAGAAGATACTTCTGCTTAATCTAGAATTAAAAGGTGACATTGAAGCAGAAGTCCTTCGTAAACGCCTCTCCAAATCGCTATGGAAGACATACTTCTCCGCAAGCATACGACTAACGTTTTCCTGCAAGAAACCGTTCAGCCAGAACGCGAAAGACAAGCTGTCGCATTGGGCCAATTCAACGTGCATATACCAGTTTACTTGCTCGTGCGGAGCTGATCACATCGACCGTACCATATGCCAACTTAAAAAACGCGCTCGTGAACACCATCCAGTCTGGCTAGTAAAAGGAGAACGAAAATGTGTATATAGTTCAGTGATAGAACATCTGATCAATTCAGAACATTCAGTGCCATTCGAAAAATCCTTCAAAATAATATATACGATTCGATCAGACCCACTGAAGGGAGTGAAATTAATACATCTGGGCATAGCCAAGGCACTAGCCACGCAAAAGCTCAAACACACGCTATGTATCCAAAAGAAATACGTCCAAGTTTGAGTTCAACGACTTCTTGAGGTCAAGATTCCCGTAGTTCCCTTTGTTAAACAAAATTATTACCAGTCCACCTAATTATCTGGTTATCAGAAATTCCAATGGTTTTGACTGATTCGTCACTCACCCTCTCTCTCTCTCCCTCTCTCTCTCTCTCCCTCACACCCGAATCGAAACTAGCTACGTCACTCACTCAGATCGATCGAAACGACTCACCAGTAATTAGATAACTTTGAACTGGTTGGTATGTGGACGGTATCAAACTACTCATATCAATCAATCAGTAGTATATGGCATTAAAAACAAGTGTGCAGAATCGCTAGAAAAAATATTTAGAAAGTAGACAAAAACTAGCCAAAATATGAATGGAGTGAGAGGATACATTTTTTACTTTCAGTGTGAAACTACTCATTTCCTCAATCAGTAGTATCTATCTCAATCTGTTGTATTATGTCCAAATCAGAATAAAATTATCACAATTAATCATTATTAATAACTGATTCAATGATACAATTTGGTTGTCTTTTTTCTAATTTTGTATAATTTAGGCGATCTGGCAAAGGGGATCATGAAACATTCATTAAAATATTAACAAGACGCAGTAAATATCACGTGAAAGAAATTTGGGATCTGTATTTATCAGTAAGTCAGAGAGTACTGTTCTTTTTTCATTTTCCTTTTAAAAGATCCAAAAGAGATTGTGTGCGAAGAGTATTTCTTTTTTGACAGCTTCGTCTTTATCAGGTTCCAAAGTTGTCACTGGACTGTTAACTGGTTGTATTCTTATTTCTCAAAAAGAAAGCAGTATAATGTATATGGGGGGTGGGGTGAATCTTCCTCTGCCTTGCTTGCTGAAGTTGGATTCCCTTCAAGCTGCTGTTCTCTCCCCTTTCCTTTTTTCTTCTCCTTACACGACCTGAAACTTTTGGTGTGAAATCAACTTCGATAAATGCACTGGTGATCTAACTGTCTCGTTGACAGTTACATCCGTGACTTTTTCAAACTTAATGGCCTTTTGTTAGACATCAGCCAGTCGTCTAAGCTAGTGACCTTCTACAGGACAGAGTTTCCTGGAGTGAGTTCTAGTGATAAGTTGTGACCATTGTGGGGCCCATCCAGTCAAGTGTGAGGGTGGATTTCCCACCGATGTCATTGGTTGGTGGTCGCGCTCAAAATCATGAGTTGGTAAAAGTTGGAGAGAATTTATGAGCTGACCATTGAATCGGGTCCCAGTGGCTGAATGGTATACGAGCCAGCTTGCCTTGTAGCCGGTAGGTCCGGAGTTCTAGCCCTTGCAGTGGGTGCGTGTCGCCGATGATTAACAAACTAGAGTGAAACACCTGGCTGTCCAGTATACGACTTTAAAGGATTTCTCGAACGCTTTTCTAACTGACATCAATCCGAGGTCAAATTCGAAAAAATAAATGGTCTTACCTTAAATCCCTCTAAATGTCAGACGTTCACTTCGCCTTCACGCATAAACATGATCTACACGAAATTTTACAAGATGCATATAGCCTAGAGGCCGCTAAAATAGAAACAAAGTCAAGCATAAAGTACTTTAGATATAATAGAGAAGATTTGTAGCTCAGGTGGATGATTTTGGTGTGGTTGTGTGCTCTGAGCTGGATGGTTTGGTTGCGAAGCTTTCATTGCTCTACTGAGCAACATCTTCAGCGCATACTTCGATGTGAAGTGAGCTTTTAGAATTCTCTATGAGTTTATTAGTCATCTCTTCTAGTAACCTTGAACGTGATTGTTTGTTTTCGTGTGACATTTCATCCCCTAGTTTGCTTGTCTCGGTGCTGGCTGCTTCTTTGGTCTGAATGTCGTTAGTCATTCCTTCTGCTAACCTTGAACGTGATTGGTTGTTTTTTGTGTGACTTCTCACTTTCTAGTTCACTTGTTTTGGTGTTGACTGTTTCCTTGACCTGAAGTTTGACTTTGTTTTTGTGTGAATTTCTTCGTATGGATTGGTATATTTTGTCAATCTCTATGTGTCTATTGATTGCTGATTCATTTGAACACCAGGCCTCTAGGAATTCTCTGGCATTTTTGCAGTTCCCTTTGTCTAAGATTTGAACATTGTCCCAGTCGAATTGGTGCCCGTGGTTGTCTGCATGTAGTGATATGAGGGAGTGTATGTCGTGTCTTTTGACAGCTAGTTTGTGTTCGTGAATGCGAAGACGGAGAGGGCGTCCACTTTGACCAATGTAATGTTTGTCGCAGTCGTTGCAATTTATCTTGTAGATGACGTTAGTTTTGTCTTCTTTTGCCGTTGAGTCCTTTGGCTTACATAGAACTGAGTGTAGTGACTTTGTTGGTTTATGAGCGACATCGATTCCAAAAGGTTTGAATAGTCTTGCAGTAATTTCGGAGATATCTTTTATATATGGTAGGACGACTTTCTTTGTGTTTTCGCTGGTGGCCTTTGATTTGGTTGGTTGAGCTGGGGATAGATGTCTTTTGATGAAGTTTCGTCGGTATCCATTTCTTCGCTGCTCTTGAATCAACACTCAAATCATCAAAATTAAGTGAAGAGACACAAGAAGAGATACGTCAGACAATCGTGCCTATAGTTTAACAAAGAAAACGACACACACAACTCAACTCACAAGAACAAAAAGCCCTCAAAAGACTGAAAAACAGGAAAGATATCGTTATAGTACCAGCTGACAAAGGAAGGACTACAGTAATCATGGACAAAGAAGAATACACTGCAAAAGCGGAAGAACTACTCAAAGATCAAACAATATACCAACAACTAACAACAAACCCCATCGAAACACTAAACTCCC